GTAGTTGCAGGTAATCGTAGAATGGTCACAAAAGGATGAGATTTTGGCGAGGTCAGTTCATGAATTGCATCAGTTCCCTAAAAAGAGATTGTGATCCTGCCGAAATATTGGCCGACGAACACAATTTGCTATCAATTTCATAAACAAAAACATGCACTTGATGCCGCTTTGATGAGCTGGAAATCAGAGGAATAGAGATTGTGCCATTTGCAAAAGTAAGAGTGGAGCATTGTTACTCGGATTCAAGAATCAAAACCATTACTGACCCAAGTCCAACACAAGTCAGACCATGGATCAGAAGAGGCCATTCTCTCGAAGTGTGCGTCTGAGTCTCACCACCACTCCTTTTACCAATGCTACCCAAATGATTGTTCTGAGAGGAGGTCGCATTGTCTCTCCGAATATTAATTAATCGATTCAGTGTAAGACCGACAATCTGAACGACCGTCGAATCTGAATTCGAGCTCTAATTGGGGATTAAGTTATGCCAGTCAACCTCTCGAAAACGTGGAGCAAATTCCACTCCCTGGCTCTTCATTTAAATCTGAGCTGCTTAGTTTAAACGTTCATTTGGAGGCATCCTATGCAGGAGTGTTTCCCATGAAAATACTCGAAGGGTCAAAGGTTGCCGATGTGATCAGAGCCAGTCATCGTTAACGATATGTTAAATGCGATTATTGAGCCATCAACCGGGATGAAAAGACTAAGTCGAACATTTGAACAGAGTTCGCGCCGCTCGATACTCTTTCGAATCCGTTGCCACCGCACGCCACTGTAACTTTCTCAGCCCAAACATCATCTTATCGATTCTTCTACTGTAAAAGTTTCATAAATTGCTTTAGACCACGAAGCAGGAATGATTTCAAGCTACCAAGGCCTCGGCATCGTTCTCGTGCTATTTTTGTTCGACATTGGTATCGGCCTAAGGGAAGAAACAGCTCTAGAAAAGGTTCGAATTAGAGATTTACTGGCCTACGCAAATCCAAATTTAATAGAGCTCAATTTTGTACTTATTTCAGTGAATAACATTATTAATATTGTTTGGAATCTCTTGTGTGGTGGTTTCAGGGCACATGTGAATTTGTTTATCAGGCGATAGACACCATTTCATTCATGTTTTTCATTTTTCGTAGATCATTTTTCGGCATGATTTTCTCTGCACTATTTATTTTGCTGATATTTATATTTATTGTGCCTTTCTTAACAAAGAACTCAAAGTTGTTCATCTAAGAGAGCTCCATGGATACACTGAGAACGATGGGTTGGTAGAAAGAACGAGTTTCCTCAGCAGGAGGGAGAGAATAAAAGCTCACTGAGCTACTATGTAGAAATACTGTTGGGCTCTTCCAGTTGGAAAACTACCTCATTAAGCATGTTCTGAAAATAAAGATATTCTGAGGGAACTTATATTAGCAGATGAGAAGAATCACCCTTTCTTGTGAGGGACCAACTCTGCTTCAACTCTACTTCTTTACTTCAAATTTATTATGCTTCGGAGTGAAGTACCATAATCAATCGTTTTCGCTTGAGGAGACGTCAGATGAAGATGGCACAATGCCTGGAGATATAGTATCCATTATCAAAGTAAACGAGAAAGCAGGTATCGATAGGCACCTGTTCGATGGCGATATTCTTCTTGGAAAGTGAGTTTCCTATTGATGTGTCGACTTTCACAGAATTAATTGAGCCTTGTCTGAACCAGTTCTTCCTGCTCAAACTCAGTAAACCTTGCATTCGTTCCTAAGAGATAATGTAATGGGAACGACAGGACAGACACAAATTTCTAACACTTTCGTATACCTTTATTAGATGAAAATATCGGCCAGTTTAGAAAGCTTGAGTGGTCATAACATGAAATGTAATTGAACAGCTACAACGCGATCCATTCCGGGAATTACATACTACTCCCAGAAGGCTCTAGATACTTCCATCAGTGGGCGTCATCGAGTAGAGTAAGGGATTCAACACCATCTATCTCCTCCAAGGGTTAACACGTAGTCTTTAGGTCCAATCTTATACCTAGTTAGATACTTAAGTATAGCTATTGAGAAGCAAGTATTCGAATCCAGACCACCTCCTTCGTGAGCTTGAGCACAGCGACTTTGTTTTTAGCGTAATGGCCCATTCGTTTTTCAGATGCATGCTGCAATCATTAATCTTTGCGATAGTGCAATATATTACTCAAATATTGCTAGACTGTAATAATGTGAGGCGTCAGCATTGGGTGCAACCCAGAAATTTGTCCAGCAATTGTCCAGCAATTATTCAGCACCGACCTGAGGACGCTTACGAACACTCCCAAAGGCGGTGCTCGTCAAAAACGTCAAGTCGTCTACGATTCCAACAAATGGCCCAACAACAAAGTCTTCTACTACTTTGATTCAACCATACGTATGTTTACGAATACCGAAATTTTGTACTAAATTTATTTACTGAAAGGCCTAAAAGTACTAGTTTAAACGATAAAACAAAAAATTGTCAAAGCTACAGTGGGCACTACGTGACATATGTACTTGTTGTCCCAACGATCATCGATTTCCATCGAAAGGGTGTCTTCTAACGTCTCCAACCGTCGCTGTCGCCACTGCAGTCAAAAGAATCGTCCGTCCTTGATTGAAGAACGCATAGCGTTCAGGGTTTCTGTTAAAAAGCCTGACCATGGCTCTGGCGACCTTTCTGGTGCTCGTTTGACATCCCAACGTTCATCGCGACATCCATAGCGTGTCCAGCCAATTTGGTTTTTCGACTCCTTAGCGTAAATAAGAGCGTCCCTAACGTTTTCGCTGGCTACGGGGCTCCCAAAGCAAATATAATATTTTTGCAAAGCGTCCAAAACTAAACTAAACTTTTTGGTGATCATATTAATAATTCATACAGCTACGTTTCAGCACCAGCCAATCAAGCATACATCAGAACAGTGCTGAATTACCTGAGTGCTCGCACGTGCATCGATTTTGTCGTCGATGCTACCGCACCTAATCGTATAAAGGTGCTTGACGGAGCGGGATGTTATTCGTCGGTTGGGATGCGAGGTGGCGAACAAGTCATATCACTATCATCTGATTGCATAATCGTAAGTTTCCAAATCAAAAAACCAAATGAAAAGCAATAGGGCAGTAGGTAAAAGTAACATCTACGGCTTGCCAGCTCACAGCGTTGGAGCATGTAAATAGCATGGTCAGGTCTGGAGAGAGGTGCTGTGAGGTCGAATGACACGTTGCTACCTTTATTTATTCTCCCGAAGTCCGATGATACCCGGCTCCACAGCCCAGTAAACATCTATTCCTGTCAGCCCTACCATTCCTCGACGCTCGGTATATTACTCTTGCCTAGGAGAATAGAAACTCTAAAATCTACTCTGTTGAGTATTGCATTAAACTTCCACTTCTTTAAGTGGAAGTTGAATATAAGGCTCAATCCAAAACGAGATTTACCATCTCCGAGACAATTCCATCACTCTTACCATCGAATTCGGTGACATAGTTCAGGCGATTGTTGACTGAGAGTGAAGGACGTCATTGCGAAAAATATAATATAGATATAATGATTTTAGATGGATTCGAAGATCCTCTGGAAGGAAAGCAAAATTTTCAACCTGTCTCACAATTGAGCACTCCATTTTTCTTATTCTCGCTTCCTTTCCGCCCACTCCCGTATTTCGACCCTATCAAAAGTTTTCGGAAAAGCATGAATTTACCTGACATGATGCATAGTAACTCTCTCCATTGGATTGGCTAAGCTACTTCAGTCATTACAGTAGCTAGCCTGGCTAATTACTAGTTAGATAAGTAAGAGATGCTGTTTCAATGTTTCATGCACTCTACATTCCATACAGGAGAAGGATGTAAGCTCTTCCCCCCCCCCCCCCCCCCCCTTCCTGATTGCAGTCCTTGACTAATGAAAGTATGAAGAGTGCTCTAGTGCTTTTCAGACATAAGTTTTGTCGGAAATACCAACAAAGTATTGTGAGTTCAATGTCGTTTTTCAAGATAGGAACCATAGCACATCAGTTCATGGAATCTCTCGGAGCAGCTCACACTCATCAACGCTTCGACAGGAATGACAGCATAATTGTCGACTTAACAAATGTCCCGGTACGGTTTTGCAAGCCAATATCATATCTTGCACCTACTTAGGCTAGCCTATGCAAGAAATCCGATACTTTGCTGTACTGCAATTAGTTTTAGCCTGATAAACATCAATACTTCGATGAGATATTCACCCTGTACTACACACCATACGAGTACGGCAGTGTTATGCACTATCCAAGCACTTTGTAAGTGACTTCACTCGATTTGTTTCTATTTATCCTGGCTATTTGTTTTTCGAAAGAACTCTCTATGTGGAAGCTTTGGTGCATTTCGGAACTCTTAACCTGGTTGTTGCAGTACTTGTTCGAACATCCTAGCGTCTTTACAGCGTAATTGCCTTCCGATGCCTCTTTAAGCTTCAAATATCAACAGTCGTCCACTGCCCCAAGTAGGGTTAATCAGAATCGAATAAGTACTGTGATAGTCAGGAAACCAGTAGCATGAGGATTGGCCACTCTTAAGATGGATCCTTTACAGCAGCTTATTCCTGAGCTTTTTCTGCTGTCCATGCAGATACTCTCTACGAAGAACAGAAAACATTTCAATTGAATCTTAATGCCAGAGTGTCAGAAGGCACCTTGACGCGTTGGCGAGCTTTTTTTTGCCTTAATCTTAAGGGTCAAATGGGTGAAGAGTTTTATCAGCGTTTGGCTAGGCGGCTTCTATTGATCCCCATTTCTTCCCCAAGCTTTTTCTTGAACACCTTCCGCCATACCCATCCACCTAAAAGAAGCAGTCGATGTGTTACGAATTGAGTTCCAGCTCGATGAAAGCTTTCGATCATTTCGAAGTCGGCCAATTGGTAGAGGATCTGCCTAAGTGGATGATAGGCTGGCTTGTACATACATAGGCTGCACACCGCTCGTCATTTTACGGGCAATCGCTATATTCTGAATTGAGGTCGAGTATGGGGAAACATTACGTGATCGCCTAACTCAAGAGATTTGATTTCCTATCCTTTGGACCAAAAGCGGCAAGAGAATTTCCTGTGATTCTCTACTTTCAGATTTGCCACCACGGGGAACTCATTAATTCCTCGATACCAAAATAGATATCTTCGTACAATGGGTGGACAAGCAATTTCGTTCTACGATATTCACTTCATAAATGTGCACTATCAGTGTTACGGTAGGAATACTGTTCCGGAAATCGTTGGTTCGCAAAGAATAGTGAGATTTTCATCATTCTAGCTCGATGTAGCGGAATAGCTGCAAAGTGCGTGAACGGCGGTGTGTCAAATCCCAGAGCCTGCTCCACCAACTGTATTTGTCCAGCTGGTTACGCTGGGGCACTTTGTAATCAGCGTGTGAGTGCAATCAACGGTTTATCTCAAATATTTTCTTGATTTCTATAAAGCCATGTCAAAAACGTAAACAACATTCAATCCAGTGGGATGGCTTGAAGGATTGGAGGGGTGGCTGAGAATAGAAAGCCTTTCACCCATCCCAATTAGCTGGCTATCCCTGGCTCTGCCCATTGCAAGCCGAAGTTGCAGTGAACTCGTAGCCCCGTTATGAATGTAGTCGGGTGAAAGGGATGAAGTCCCAAGCATCGAACCCGCTCAGTAGTCCTCTATAGGAGACTATGCAGGCAGGTACAGTACCGTGCCCGGTAACCTCGAGTGATGGCTTGATGTTCGGTTTTCCTGGCCAGTAGCCAGCACGAACATTACTCAGAAGATTCCCTAAGCTGGTAGGTATGGTAAGCTGTGGTGAAGAGACTGCACCTCGGAAGAAACTCACTGCCCAATCTCAATGTAGAACCTAACTCGATATGGTTGTCAGTTACCCTTTGAGTAGTGCGTTGATGATACTATCCGAGTACAGAAGATGGTCACACCTATTACTTGCGGGCTATAGCGGTAGGTGGCATGCCAGACTACAGGCTTCACCTACGATCAGGAAGCACTAGTATATGTAGTTCCGCCGTTATTCTTCCAATCAAATCTTTAAAAGGCTGCTCAACGTTCCAACGCTGACGTCAGTATAGAGAATTAACTGTAGAGGGAGTTTGTGAGGGGAAGATAAAGCCATAAGCGGTACCTTTCTGCCTACCTTTTGTTCGGAATCAAAAATTATGAAGTATTTTAGATACCTTGTCTACTCTACTTGTCAGAATTTGACAGGATTCCTTAGCCCTTGGATTCTCAAAAAAAGCTGATTAATAAATAACTTTTAGCCACCTGCCTGTGGTGCAACTTTGACGGCTACAACTACGTGGGTAACCAGAAAAGTCACTGTTGGTGACCCGAAGATCACCACTACCAGTAGCACTTACAAAATGTGCACTGACTGGGTGAAGGTCAGTGAGATCCGAAAAAATGTACAGCTTTTCAGATGCTGCAAAATTACATTTTTGTAGGCTCCAGCTGGTAAGAAGGTCCAGATCCGTGTGACAGCGTTACAGGGAGTAAACTGTACTAACGGCTGCTGGGTTCATGCCATCGAGCCTAAGATTGATACCGATAAAAGGTTGACGAATGCCAGGTAATCATTGAGGATAGTTTTCAAGTACACGCTAGTTTGTCTCGCATGTGGCATGCCGATCGGAACAACAGAACCTATGATCGGGCAGTAGCAGTCTTTGTTGTTCAAGTATACATGGTCCCCTTGTTGTTTTCTGGGTCGGGTAAGAATAAAGAGCGACTGGGAGAAGCCTCTCCAAAGCTACAGCCCCTTTCAAAAACTTACCTTACATTAGAAGAGTTTGTCTATTACTTCTGGTATGAATCATGGATTCGTTTCAGGATTTGCTGCCCAGCACAGCTCAATAGCATACTCCCGAGCAGAATAAATCCTACACCGATAGTCTTCTACAGCATTCGCCGTGCAGCTACGTTTACCTATCAATACAGATATGTAAATCAGTGATTGTTTATTCTGTTCTGTACTTGAATAAACTCCATGTCAGCTAGGGTCATGCTCGTTTTGGGGCTGTGCTGTCGAGAAACTTACGCGTACAATTATGATAATCGACTTCTAAGGGTTGTGAAATTGGACTGACTTCAAACTTTGAATCCTGTAGGGTGGCGATTACTTCTGAAAATGGCGCAATCTCCGTTTCTTTGGTAACCAAGACATCGAAATTGTGCTACAGTGATTCTGTGGAGCATCTTCCAAGCTAGGCAACAATCCTTTCTCTGAAAAAACAATGAAACGTAAACAACGTATGTAGACCTCCAATGAGACACAGGCCCCATTAGGAGTATTTTCGAGGATTGTGGGGTGTTTTGATCAGATAATGACAAAATCCAATGGTCCTTTTGAAACCTCATAAGGAAGACTTGACTGAATTGTAGCTGGTTCATACCAGCAAGCTTCAAAAAGACTCCTGAAAAACCTCGTAACACAGATTTCGTCACAACATCAAGCCCTCAGCACCATTTACACTCATACGCAACGTTTTACTGCTCGAACGTTCACCTCGAACTTAGAGATTCCACACGGAGAACTTAGAGGTGAAGACGACTCCAAAATGGTCGGTCTTCATGAGGCTAGGTTTTATGAGAATTCAGACTGGATGGAATGGCTCGGGTATGGACTTCAAAAGTCTAAGCTTTTTGCATTGCATTTTTCGTAACTTCTCGATTTGAGATCAGTTCATGATCCCTGCGCTTTACAGTCTCTTACCAAATATCTGGGTCGAAGGCCATTTTCATGAGAATCCATGACTTGTTTACAGAAAGAGAACACGGATGGTATCACCATCTTGTTTGATTTTAACAAATAAGCACATAACAACACACAAAATTCAAATGTATCTGTAAAGGTAAGTGACTTCCAACTGTAGATAGGCGTTATAGTTGACGACTGGAGTCGGATTCAGATTGCTTGTGATCACTTGCTTCAGTTGCCCTGCACAGCATGCCCTGAAACGAAATGCTGCAGGGTGCCTTTGTAAGGAACTTTCCAAGGACTCACGGAGTGAAGGTAAATTCCCTTTAGGTTTATCGAGCTGGCATAGCTTCCGAACTTACTCGGTGAGGTTGATATCGCCGTCGTACAAGTAATCAATGACGCCTTCGATGAGATTCTTTTCAAGAATCGAACCACCTCCGGGAAGAAGGCTGTCTTCACCTTAGCTGGTTCCTTAAGCAATACGGTTGTTTCGTCATTTTATGATGAAAGAGTCTAAAGAATAAATGATCTAACTCCATGATAACTTCATGATCAGGGTTGGAGTGAGGTTGCCACTGATGAGGTGATTACATCAACGAGTTGCAGGTTTCTCAGCCTCCCACGACGTTGCTCGGGATCGATCCCTCGAAAACTTTGAAAAATTCCGTCACTGAAGCTGTCTAGAGTTGCGTGAAGCTACCTGTGTCAAAGAAACTCTTCCACTATAGGTGAGAGCGAAGCCAACGTCGAGGACCAGCATGAGCAATGAGACGAGCGCCACATATCGACCTTGTCTGGAATTCATTTCCCTGCAGAAGTTCCTGGAAAATTTCACCGGGAATGGGGAGTTATAAATGAGAAAATGGAGTAAGGTGCAGGAGCAAGCCCGATCGGGATATTTGGAACGTTGGGACCAAACTGTTCGCTTTCGTTGACGTTGCTAAAATGATAAGCAGCTTGGTAGTTTTTGTACTGCGGGAACAACAGCAGACCAAGTACCATCTCCGGGCTGTCAAGCGGCTCTTGGCTTCATCTTACTCGGGGTAAGTCTACCCACATCGACAGCATTCAAAAACCAGGTTCCTTTACGACGCACAGCCGGTCGTTGAACTTCAAGGCGTTATTTAATGAATTGAAAACTATGTGTAAAATTCTAGCACGCATCAGAAGGTTCTAATACAGATAAACAGTGTTCTCGTTCAATGGCCATCGCTTCAAAGCCATTTCGGCTTCTCGATGGGAAAATTTGCTGTTCCGCTTTCAGCTTGAGCCTTTCAGCAGCAAGCTAGAGGTAGAGTATTTGTACAAAATGAGCGATGTCTCGATGTTGTCGTCCTTCACCACTTGTATATTCGCCTTTTCGCTCGTCCTTCGATTCTCGTCAATCAGCCCCGATCAACTCAGTTAATCTTCTCTAATCCTCATCCGTCTTCTTCGTCATTGCCTTGGTTTTCCCGTCCGTCAAGAGGAGAGAAGGCCATCTACAGTTACCAAAGTCAGGAACGTGTCGCGCTTTCTGGCATCCAGCAGAGCCACTCCACCTTCGCTCAGGTACGGCGGGCACCGGAAATCACCTAATTCGTTCGGGACCCCACTACCGATGCACAAACGGAATGGCTAGCTCGACACTTCTGATGATCTTCTCGGCATGCTTACGAATAAACCATTACAGCTAATCTTTAATGAAGCACGTCGAGTTCTCGGAACGAACCAACAAGTTCCACTAAAGGCTTAGTTTTTTATTCTCCTCTATACCAAAAATGAATTTGATTTAGATCAGTAAGGATGGTGGCTGAGGTAAGACTAGAATCACTTTGATTTCCGAAAGTTGCGGTAATGAATACATAGTTGGTGTTTCCACTCCAGATTCAATAATACGGATACAAGTTGAAGAGCTGTGGAAGTGTAATGTATAGCAGTTTGAACTGCAGCTTTATAGGAACAGCGCGTTTGTTAGATCGTTTCATCAACTCTTCAAGCAACAGCTACATGGCAACCGCTTAGACGTCTTAGACTTGGAAAGAGGTCTACAGCTATTGATTTAGGACTTACTTGGTCATTAACCAGCCCTTCACATTTGAGCTGTGAACTCATTGTCGAATAAGACAACTGCTGTCACCACCTACTATTATAGATTACTGCTAGCCTACACTGTACTGGCAGACTTGTCTCCACTTTTTCTTTAATTAGCAGATCTTTATTCTGCTTGATTTTGCTTTCTATTACTGTCTGGTACTCGATGGTTTTATGTGTGCGGCACTAGATCGTTCTATGTTATTGTTCTCTTTCGCTTTTGCCACACTCGAGCGCACTCTTACGAGTAAAATGGGTAAGTAAATAAATAAACAAATAAATGAACCCTAGGCTCGAGCCCAGATCTATTTCGGAGCTCAAAGCTCAGCCTAATTCAGTAAGGTTTTCGAAAGTTCCTCGCTGAATTCATATAATCTGCTCAGCCTATACGACTTCACAGTCAGAGCTAAGGTGTCTTTTAACTGCTCTATACAAATAAGCAGTTTTCGCCCAGTATGTAGAGAAGAGATGAACATTTGGGTAAAATCATCATCAGTTTTATTAACTGTCCTACAAGAAATAAATAAGAATATGAGAAATCAAATATATTTGTAGGCGTAGGTGATTTCTGTTTTCAGGAAAATGTTGTATGTGATGACCGGTGTCGGATTTAGACCGCTGGTAAGCACCTGGTTCAAGTGGTTTTGGCAGCATGATCTGAAAGAACTGTGAAAGTCCGATTATCGAGCATTTGCGGAGACTTTAATTCGAATGCAATGGCTCCTGATCTGTCCACCAAGATCCGTGGCGGTTTCCTCATCGCTGTTCTGAACTTTCAGTACTCTTCCAAGAAAGCAATCAGACACAAGGGCATCCATTGTGTTCGATCGACTTCCAACTTGTTTGACTCACCTTGGATTCGTGTTCAGCTTATTCGCCAAGGTCTTGAATTCAATCCCCTGTACCCAGCATCCATACTGACAGTAAACTCCATTCAGGGCTGTAACCTTCACCTGCACTTTCTTTCCAGTCGGTGCCTGAAATAACGTCGTACACGCATCTTTCGGTTGCTTTTTGGAATTTGAAGGTCTTGCTGAGCTCACCTTGATCCAATCATTGCAGATTGCGTGGGTTTGACGGATATCTGTGTCTGTGTCATTACCTTGAACAATCTTTCTTGTTTTCCAAGTTGCTGCTGCTGTCAGTACAGCACCGCACCCTGCTGGCTGAAATCATGTTTTCCATAAGCTCCGCGGCCTCTACGCCCTACTGTCCCTTCCAGTGTCTTGTCGATGAATTCTAGTATTTTGCTCTCGGTTCCTCCATTTTTTTTGAATGTGGATTTTTGGAATTTACTCGTATATATCACTTACCCGTTGGTTACACAGCGCGCCACCGTAACCAGCTGGGCATATGCAGGTGGCGCAATTTTTCGGATTTCTTTTTCCTCCATTGACACATTTTGCTCCAGTGGTACATTTGGCTGCAATATTTCAAAAAATAGAATTTTGGCTTCAATTCCAAGCTGCTTGGTGGGCGAAGCATGTGCTAGCTGATGAAAATCACTATTAAAAAGGGAAATACATCACATGAGGTGATGGCTCAACCCTCAAAGGCTGAAAGGTCGCAAAAAACTCCCAGTTGATTCAACTCACCATTGCACTTGTAATGGGTATTGATAATGCTTAAGTCGTAAAACGAAATCATTTGAGATCCAATGGTATAGAGGAACCGGGCGTTTTTTGGTATCATTGACTCTCCAGNAGTAGCGAACCTTAAAATGAAGTGATAGATGGGACAATTCACATGATTGCTGCTGATGCTCCAGACTTCCTTAAATATATCGAATCATATGAAACATCCCGAAGAGAAGATTGGGGATCGTTGTTTGGGAAGACCACTTACGATTTGGCATCATAGTGCATAACGCTACCGAACTCATAGGGAGTATAGTTGACTGTTTGTGCTGATGTGTACTTGTTATAGTTGTGACGACTTTCCTCCTGGAAATCAAACAGTTCATGGACTGCTATCAGCTTTACGAACCCTCTTTTACTAAAAAGATGAACTAAGTGGCTTTAAGCTCCGTTCTGAGAACATTCTCTGACTCGTTTACTTATTTATTTTTGTTTTGGAACGAACTTGGGCCCTGGAATTATAAATGCGACGAGCTTACCGGCACATTGGTCAAGTTGATTGTTACGAAGGAATCACGATCGTAGCGACTTTGCATATGGAATATACCGAGAGCATGCATGAACTCGTGGGCAACGATTCCCATCTACAAAGCAGAGAAGAGTCAAAGTTTCCCAAGGTGAAACAAGCAAGAGAAACAAATGGATGGGTTCTCTGCTGTCTCCAGCAATATTCTTCAGAAAAAAAGCATAAATATTACCGTATTACAACCATCGGCCAACGATAGAGCCTGTTCTCCTCCTGTCATCCCAACGTTTGAGTAGCATCCAGATCCACTGAATACTCGAATGCGATTTGCAGCTGTGGAGCTTTCAACAAAGGTGAGACATGTACGAGCGGCGAGGTAAGCGAGCGTTTTCTTGACGAGCGCCTTCATTGTAGCTCCTGATACAGAAAGAATGATTCAAGTTGCCAAAGCATGAATTATCGTGTGCTTTCTGATGCCTCCACTCACCAAAACTTGCGTCGAAGTAATAGAAGACTTTTTTGTTCGCCCATATAGGATTAACCTTAGCGGCCTGACGCTTCTGACGAGGGGTGCCACTGTTCAGGCTCGATTCCAGGGCAGAGAGCTGCTCCCTGCAAATCTTCGAGTTTGAAGGGTTTTAAGGGCTCTATTTTCACCAGAACTTTCAGTTGTGCTCGGCGTTAAGGCAAGTTCTGTACCATAAGAGCCCCTGGAGCTTTTCCAAACCATTCAAACTTACTCAGTAAGATTGATGTCACCCTCGTACATGTAATCGCCAACACCTTCAATTCCATTTTTCTCGACGATCGAAGCTCCCCCTGGGAATGACGTTTTGCTTTGCACCTAAAACAAACAACTTTTTTGCTGAGAGCTGGAACATTATGCTGTGCAACTGGATGAAATCCAACTTCCTTGACGGTCTTTGGTGATGCTCCAACTAACGTAACGTCCAGATCAGCTCCTTGCAGTTTTCTCAATCTCTCTCGACGCTGCTCGAGGTCGATGCCTTTGAGTGCCTGGAAGAATCTGGCTGCTAAAACTTTTTATGATCCTAATAATCATTTTACCTTCGCCAGAGAAGCTCGCCCTTTATCCGAGAGAGCGAAACCGCTATCGAGAAGCAGGCAAAGCAGAGCACCGAAAGCCAGGATTTGGCTTTGCCTTGGATTCATTCCTGTATACAGCACTTTCGTTTTTGAACAGAATCTTCATTTGGTACAGCCAACACAGTGATATGTGCACTTCTTCGGTTTTAGGGCGAATTCCCAAGAGGGTGGATTCGCGCGGTACATAGAGGAATCCTTGGTAAGTGGTTAAAGGCAGGATAGTGGCAAAGGATGGTGCAAGGCAATGAATTAGAAGAAAGTGCTATTAAGAGCGAAGTCCCTTACATACACATTGACTTGAGCCTTTACTCGAACCTACAAATTATGGCTACACCCAGGTGCTCTCTTCCTGTTTCTCTGAACGAAGCTTTGTGTAAGGCATATTGAACGGGAGTTTGAAGAGCCGATGTCCCTCCCTCCATTCAATCGCACCTAATACATCTGGAGCGCTATTTCATCAAAGGTATCAGCAGTCTCCATGGGACCAAGGAAGACCCTCGTAGCACCTTTCCCGAACAGCAGAAGAATTTTCATATTGTCATTTGGGGATTCAAAGGACCGGTCATGTAAGGCACGGAGGCGAAAAGGAGGCGTAGGTGTAGGAGAAAGTGTTCTACGTAAAAAAAAATTTTTGAGTACGTAGAGCACATGGTAGACAATGCTAACCAAAGAAGGAGAAAGGATTGATAGCTGAGTGCTAACCCAGATGANNNCCTGCTTGCATGCTCTTTTATACCATAAAGTAGTTCATCAAAACTAATGCGATATTATTCCAACTCTCCACGGATGGTGTATTCTATCACCAGTTCGAAGACCGTTTTCGAACATTTCGGATTATTTCGAACGCTTTTACGGAGAAGTTCTCATGCGCGTATGCAAATCGCTGTGAACAAAAACCGCATGGTTTTTGAGCTCCTACATTTACGACGGCAAATGTTGTGGTACCAAAAGCATTCTTTACCTTTATCAGTGAGGGAAAAGTTCCTACTGATTCTGCCTAGGGCTCTTTCTACTCTTTCAACAGCTTCATTCCAGGTTGAACTTCTGTTTAGCAAATAGGCAATGCAAGAAAGATGGCAGTAATACAGTCAATTCATTACACGCTGGATTCTACTCTTTTCAACTCAAGCCCAGCTTTCACGAAGTCACATTGCTCAATCTCATTCTCTATTGTATTCGCAAATGTCTTTAGTCGTCAAGACAATATTAGGGCCTAGTTATCGGGCTCAAATACCAGAGTTGGCTTGTATGTAGTTGCCCACAGAAGTTGCTTGTTCTGCACAGCTCCTGCAAAGGAGTGTCTAGAGAAGTTTTGGGGATCCAATGGCCAGAAGTGCTTCAGAGCAATGTGAAAGGGCTCTGAAATTATACAACCAATTCCCTGCCTTGTAGAAGTTTTCGAGTGTGATGACTGAACTGCGCATTTAGCATTTTTTCACTTTAATTTATCCCCTCCTTTCTTTAACAAATCTCCTTCCGTGAAGTGAATCGTGGTCCGTTCCCTGAAGTTGAAGAACGTTGTATTGTGCTACTTTTTATACCATCAGCTGCAACATTGCTAGCTATAGTTGGTTGAAAAGACAGGAAATCACTTGACTTGGGTTCTTCTCAGAGAGAATTATGGAAGAAACTGTAGGCAGAGCGATCAGAGGTGGTGATGGTTCTGTATCACTCCTATTCATTGCCCTAGTGGTCTGACCAAACAATGAAGTGAGAACCCGAAAAAAGTTTTGAATTTTGCTCCAAAACAAGCAACTCCAACGGCAAGTTAATAATTCAAAGGCGAAGGAGGCAGGTGGATGGCAACCGAACCGGCATTGTCCATGACCGCAACCGAAACCCATGCTCGAATCACGTCATTATTTGTTCAAGATGTGTTCGTCAGTTCAGAAGAGAACGAACTCAAAGCTGACGTTGAGATCGTCAACGACAGTAATTTGGCCCATTCGGCTCAGGTCGTATTCCGTGGTTACGTCCGTAACGGCAGTACGTTGATATATGAGTTTCTTCACGAACAAGTATGGTTATTTATTCGACCATCAGGTATGTATCTAATCAGATCATTCCGTAAGCTCCGAGGGGCTCATAGGCGTCCCCATGTATATACAAATAAATAAATAAACAAGTAACTGCCCCGATCTGCGTTGGAAGTCTAAATTCAAACGAAACTCTCTGTGATGCACTGCTTTCTCAACAGCCTGAGTGAAAACGATTTTGGCAAGCACTCCGAACAATTCTCTCGAAAATACTTTTTCAATAAGTTCTCCAAGGCAAAGTAACCACTGCTCTTCAGAAGTGTATCATTTAAATTTTTTTTTCATTTTATTTTTTTTTCTTGAGATAAAAGCCCCTATGTGAGCGTCACCAAATGTCAAACACCTTGTAGGACCAGTCACTTCAGTCGTTTACCGTCTCATTTCAGAATCCAAGATCCATCATGTCGCTGTAGAGGTATGGCTACCACGATTTCCGCCTTCAATCAAGCTCCCAAATGGCTTTCAAGTGGAATATTCTGTTCGAGCTACTGTAGATCCATGGTATCAAAATAATCATGTGGAAAAGATTTTCATCGTACGACGAAGACTGGTCCTAAAAATGCCTCATATCGACTCTTATCAGAAGCGACTTATTATCAATCAGTGTGTCAACCATGGAGCATGGTACCACAAGTGAGTTCTGGAACTTTCTGGTCATTTTTATTGGTTTTGAGTGCTTGCGTTCAGAGAGTGTAAGCCAATAAATGGTGAGATATGGTCAGAGAAGGGTATATATTCATTTGGAGAGACGGTCAGAGTCAGTTGGCGATTGAAACTTTATTCGACGCTGGAAAAGGTGAAGCTCAGCCTCATCCAGCACTTTGCGCAGAGGTGAGATTCCCCTAGGACTCCCTCATCGTGTTCTTTTGGAATTGACTTCCCTTAGATTTCAGAAATCCAAGCCCCGATCATCCTGAGCTCTTCACAAACCATGAACGAGTACTCTGTGTGAAGGAAACGACTACAGGGAGCAAAGAACCCCATCACTGCGAGATTGTCGTCCCAAAGGATCTGCCTGTCACTATGGCGATGACTCTATGGAACGTTTTGGTCATAAAATATGAGCTGCTATTCCAAGTAAAGATGAAAGGTCATAAACCCTATGTGGACTTCCGAATTCCAATTATAATAGCTAGCGAGCAGGTTAAGGTACGTTGAAAATTTCACTCATAAGTGTTACGGTATGTACCACTAGAGGTACAATCATTACAGAGCAGAACCGGTACACCTGCTGTTGGTATGGAGCTCTACAAACGGGCCCAGGATATCGACGACGACACTGACGACGACGATGATCAGGATTCTGAACTCGGAGAGGCACCGCAAGAACACCAGGACTTCTCTGTGGACATCGACACCTTGGAAATCAAAGGCGAGCCATTGAGCAAATCCTATGCCCGTGTCGGATTCACAGTCAACAGCAAGCAGCCAGAAGCTCTTCGTTCACTGAGGCTTCTTCTTCAAGGAGAAGTACGCGCAGGATCGGTCTGGTATTCATTTATTCGGTACAAGGCACATATCACCTCGGGTACAAAATCGCTCTTCGGCCCTGGTCAGCATTCTCTCAATATACAGCTTCCTTTCAAAGACTCCCAGTACGACTCCAATATCCTGCCACCAAGTCTCGGTGAAGACATCCGCTACATTTGCAGAGTGAGCACGAGCTCATGGACGGCTAATAATGTGGCCGAAGAAGTGCTTCTTCCCGTAGATCGAATGGTGGACACCTGGGCTAAGGAGAAATTCAAGGCACCGTATTCCGAAATCATAGGTGCTTATGGTATTGAAATGGATCAGCGAGCCTTTCAACGAGGAAAATATGCCTTTGTTACGGTAACAGGGAAAGTACGCAGGGTCCGAGTGAGCCTTGAACAACAGAGACGTCTGCGATATCCGGCACTGAGCAAAGACGAGAGTTACTGTCATGAGAGGATCGTCGCAGCTCTGGAAAGTCCCGAAGACAAAGACTTGTGGCCAAAGCAGTGGGCTCTCAGAATTCCACGGAATATTCCGCCCAGCATAGAAATTGCCTACTGGAACGTGCTGGTATTGAACTATGCACTTCAAATCAAGCTCACATTGGAAGATGGGCACGAACACACCCACATGGTACCCATTTGGATAGGATGTACGGATGACAAACTACCACCGCCAGTGATACCTACAAGAATTGAAAAGCGAGAAGCCAGTGGACGGTCCAACCATAGTGACAACTTCCTACCAGAAGAACTCCCTGAGTTTGAAGTCGTCGAAACTGACGAAACTTTGCATCCGCCTCAATGGGTTGATCGATTTCACGATCACATGTACTACTAGTTATATTTGTGATAAATGATTTTTACTCGCTATTACCAGGTTACGAGAAAAAGGAAAAGGATATAATTTGCTGGAGGAGTGAAGAACGAGATTTTGCGATTTCTAAAGTTCACTTTTTCAGCGCGTATGACCGATGTTACTCTGTTTTTCAGAAGAAAAATCTTCCTTAAAACAGCTGGAGAATGAAGATGCCCCGGCCTTTTTGTTCACTACCAACGGGAATAGAAAATATTCGCAGAATTCCTACGACAACCGGAAAACACCAAATATGTTATCGGCTTCATAAAATGCAATGCACAACTTTATTTGATTCTCGGAAAAGAATAAATAAAAAGTAGAAGGTTTATATGTATCTATACTGGAAAGTAATTTCCGATTGGAGGAAGTTGCTGTAGGTGATGACAGGGGTTGGGTTCAGGCTGCTTGTGAGAACCTGCTTCAGATGACCTGGACAGCATGCTCTGAAATAGACGCTGTTAGGCTCAGCCAGTATCTTGCCAATTAGTAACTCCGTTATTGATAAGTTATTTGGAGGGCCCTAAGGGCCCGTAGACAAAAGGGGCGATCAAGGCTTGGGATTTATTCTGGGCGTACAGACAGTGTGGACCCATAAGGGTAGCCACCAATGCCTAGTTGAGATGGTTTTAAAAATGATTAATATAAAAATCAATTGAAATGCTTGCTCGTGTAAAATATACCTCGGATTCGTATTTAGTTTATTAGGTAAGGTTTTCATCTCGATCCCATGATTCCAACATCCATAATTGCAGTAAACCCCTTTCAGAATCGCCACTTGAACCTGAACTTTTTTTCCCGCAGGCGCCTGAAAATCGCTTTCAGTCCTTTTTTATTATTTGTGCCTTGCCCATAGAGAACTAACCTTTATCCAATCATTACATATTGTATAAGTATCGCGAATGACTCCGTTCGTTGCATTACCCACAACAACTTTCTTTCCTTTCCAAGTTGGAGCTGCTGTGAGCACAGCACCGCATCCTGCTGGCTGAATTAAGTAAACTTAGTCACTAAAACGCCTTTACCATTACGGCCATCTGAGCAACATAGTGTTTAAAGCTAATTTCTCGCACGTTTATATTCAAAAGGAAGACTTCTGAAATGAAAAATGATGATATCACGGTTACTCTGACTGTCGTTTCAATCGGCCCATCTAATAGAACGTTTGAAGGGACGTCCGCCTTAGTCCAGCTACGAAGGCACTGTACGGCAGCTTGGTCAAAAGTGAGGATGCTACCTGGCCGTGGATTGTCACCAACTCTAGCATTACTGCCAGCGCTTCTTCATCCTCCCCCTGTAACCGACATCGACTCAGTCCACTGTCGTTCTCGTGGCTGCTCAATCCACATGACTGAACCTTCTTATTCCTGCTCTGCTGTTCCAAATCTAGCCTTTTGCATCTAAATGCCAGCCCATAGAGGATTTTCATGGGGGTGCGGACAGCGCCGTCCTCGTGAAGCAAGAGGCACGTTACTCATTGGCCCTTTTCGATGGCTATTACATGCACCGGTTTTTTGGGAGCTTTTTCGGATTCTGCTATTTTTGAGTACTTCACTGATGATCAATCAATTTTTTTAAATTCATGACCTTTGTCTGATCACTCATGATATGATTAAATTTGAATTTCAAATTTGGAAATATTCGTTTTTGTACTTGAAAATTGCCGCTTACCCGAAGATTACACAATGCACCACCGTAACCAGCTGGGCAAATACAAATAGCACAATTTCTTGGATTGGGTTTTCCTCCGTTAGTACATTTTGCTCCTGTTTTTGCACATTTACCTATAATACAGATATAGAAAGTTGAGAGGAAAGGTTTCTTCAACAAACAGTTATCCCTGCATAGGTAAGATTGATATTAAGGCGACGATGGGAGGCGACTTCTGAGGAGGAAGTGCGGAGCGGAAGGAGCTTTGATAATGGAGCTTAGAAACCAAGAACTCACTCATCAGCTCAACCGGTCTAACACAGTGCTGAGTTGTATGAACGACTGGAGTGTATCGTTAGGTCAGACTCTGTCTCGTGATTTTGTGATACAGTAATCCATGCAGTGGGTCCCGACTGTAATGCCTGGTTATGACGTAATACCCTCTTCGTCACAATCACCCACCAACCCCTCGGACCAAAACTCTTTTTCACTGCTTCACGTGTGTGACAAGCCTTTTTCCTCTTTTTTTTCGCTGTGCATGATTACTGTATCACAAAATCCTGCGAACTGCAAAATTTGTCTTGTAACATCAAAATAAGCAGCTCGAATTCCTGCGACATGCTTTAGAGGTCAGCGGCTATATTCAAGCCATTTTACTTCGGGTCATAGGTATTTATTGAAACTCCCATGTGAATGAAGGAAAGCAACTTCCGTGACGGTTGTGGAACCACAATCTCTGAGGAATAACCCAGACTTCTTACTTTCCGACTTTCTGCCAAGCGTTCGTTTTTTCAGAGTTCGTTACTAGCTAAGCTAATTTGGCTGACACTTCAAGATATGCAGCTCTTCCGTCCACAGAATCTCACTTGATAGTCAAAGAAATCTTCTAGTTGACACCTTCTCAAGATTGTAGTGAAACCAGCCAACAACCTGTTGACTTGAAAGTTGTCAAGTCCTCGCTTGATAGGGTAGAACGAGTGATTTGAAAGAACCAAAAGGGGCAAAAGCATGGGGCATGGAAGGCAGTTGAGAATGCGTGTCCTGCTGCAGGATAGCCTATGGAGGGTTGTACACTGTATTGGAGAGTATTCCAATACACCCGTACTTCCTTATCTAGAGCTTGTTAATGTTCTCTGTGAGAACTTCACTTAGCACCGAACTCACCATTGCACTTGTAGAGGAAGTTGATAGTACCTATATCGTAAAAAGAGACGTGTTGTGAACCCATTGTTTGGAGGTATCTTGCACTAATTGGTGTCATAGAAAATCCAGTTGTAGCAAACCTGGAAACAGAATCTTGAGACGGAGTACTCGTTTCTAGAGCCACTTTAGAAAATTTTCTCTTAGTGGCTACAAGAAGTTTTAGAAGCGTGGAAAGAAGTTCTTACGCTTGAGCATTTTGATGCATAACGCTACCGTATTCGTATGGAAAGTAATTAACCGATTCCGCTTGTGTTAGTTTGTTGAAATTGTGCTGATCTTCTGCCTAAAAAAACTTCACATTTGTGGAGCCAGTGAGCGCAACCTGGACCTTTTTTGGTTTGGCTAACTGCTTTGATGGCATTGAAAGACCATATAAACAATCAACGTTTTGGACAGAGACATTCGGAAGTATAGTGACAAAAGAGCTCATTGAAAGGTGGAAAACCTCCTATCGCGGTGCTGTCAACCACACAGTTGATGCAGGTACTTGTAGCTAATCTGATGCTAAAACAATATGCAAGACACACTTGGAATCACCCTACACATTCTTCGTTGAAGGCCGAACATGTTAAGCGCTCCAAAACTAGGCCGTCATTGCATGCATCAAAGGCTCATCCTTGGTTACTAGTAAAATACCTTCTGTTTATGAAGAAATGGCGTAAAGTAGAGATAAAAAAAGCGGAAAAAGTGCCTACCGGTACTGCGGTCAGATTGACTTTGATGAATTGATCGCGATCGTATCGGCTTTGCATATGCCATATTCCAAGAGCATGCATAAACTCATGAACGACCAGTCCTACCTAAAGTACCGGGGTATGTGGCATTACGTGCGTCCGAGGATGGGCGCGGCACATTGGGCAGCGAAGTTCGTAATGATTTCAACAGCTTCGGCGCCTATCATTGGGGCCTAAATTTGAAGTAGAGTAGCTTAGAAGGATCATCTGACTCTACTAAACTACTCTACTTCGAGTTTGTGCCCCGAAAATACCGTGGCGTTTTGAATCCCTATCCACTAGTAGACATGAATAGGTGTCACAAAGGAGAAGGTTCTCCTTGAAATAGCGACCATCAGTCGGCTTATGGGGACATCCACAATGCTGTCGCTAG